GCTGCGTCGCAGGTCGTACCGCTGCCTTGGACAGTTGCTTCGCAGCCGCTCGGGACTAATGGCCAAGGGTTAATTGGTGTAGTCATGGAAGGTAGTGGCCAAGTACTGCACCAGGGTGGCAAATCACAATCTGGCGAGGAAGTGCATTACTGGCAGGTGGTCACCAGTGAGGCTGCACCCCACACCTCTTCTCTTTCTTTAAACGATTCTTTTTGACGTTGTTGGTTTCAAAGTGTCTGCAATGTCAGCTATTTGCTAATTCCGAGGGGAAGCACTGCTGCTTTGTCATTTCTTCTCCACTGAAAAGTCGCTCACCTGTTTTGCGAACCAATTGACTACTTCTATTTTATTATCACGGTGAGCCCATACGTCGCTGGCAGTTAGGGTGCATAAAATATACACGTGAAAAGTTTCTGACTGCTGATCACTAGAGAGGCGCTGCCTTTAAGGCTAGAGTATAAAGTTGGGCATGTTGGTAAGACATAGTTGATCGACGTAGCGCGTTTAGAAACATAGGACAAGGGAAGAGACAGAAGGGAGCGCTTACTTCGAACAAAATCTTTATTTAGAGGATCGTACATATATATGCTCATGAAATTTGAAGATAACAGATAAACAGATGAAAATTCCTCTATTGTCATGCGCTAAAAACTTATGATCTCAAAAACGACAATTCTTTTTCACAAAGACCGAGAGAAGGAGTGCTGACGCAGTTCAGCCCTAAACTACTAATCTTTTCTGCTTCAGTGATCTCCCTTGTCACTTTATTTCTGTTTTTTTCTATGATTACCGTACCATAAAAAAGTGGTTTGCAGCGACACGTGCTGCAATGTAGTGCCAAAAAACCATCTCGACCATTTCTTACGTTGCAAGCTTGTTCGCGGAGCCGGTCATTAATGCGCCTGCCAGTTTGTTTTATGTAGTATTTACCGCATGAAAGAGAAATCTGATAGATTACAAATTGCGCTCATTTGGGAAGGCAAATTTCTGGGAAGGCAACTGACTCGGAACATGACCGGTGTGTGTCAGCAGGTGTTGATGTGCTCCTTCGTTCGAAGCAACAATCTTCCAAATTGCCGCTGAGAAAAGTGGAGGCCTACCTTAGGAACAACGCCCTCGCCGTACTTCCAGCCGACAAGTAACGAGGGTTTGCTGTTCTTTCTTACAAGCTTTTCAGGTCTAAAGCAAGTGAAGCTGTTTCATCTGTTTTCAAAAGTTACGACGATGCTGTTCTTTCTAAGGTCAAGTCTCAGGCAAAAAAGATGTGTGAAAAGCTCGACCTCAGTAAATTTGTTAGTGGCATAGCAAATAGCAAAAAAGATTGCCTTGAGGTATTCTTCAGTGCGAAAACACATAAGCCTGAAAAACCATTTTGTGTTATCGTTTCAGAAAGTGGCACACGGCAAAAAAATGTTGCGTTGTTTTTACAAAGTAAGCTTGGTCTATAAACAGTAGATGACACATTTCTCGTGAAAAATTCCCATCAAGTTCTTGATTTCGTCCGACCCCGTTCGAATCAGCACATGTGTGGTTTTGCCAATGATGTAAAAGATCTGTATTATTCGTTGCCTCACAAATGGATTCTTAGTTGTGTAGAAGAGTGCATTGACAAGCTTGGTAGCATAGCATTTCAGAATAGGGCGGGTATATCGTCTAGTAGCTTTTTAAAACTTTTATCTTTTTATTTGAAATGTACTTTTATTCAATGGAACGGGGAGCCCCACCTTCAAAAGGGCATTTGTATTGGATCATGTATTGCTCCAATCTTAGGTGATTTGTTTTTAGCCAAGCTCGACAGAACCGTTTCCAGTGACCCTAGTGACAACCGAATCATGCGCATCTGTAGATTTGTTGACGACTTCCTCATTCTTCTTGACTGTGACCCCACTTTTTGTGCCCTAGATATCTTCAACTTCATGAAGGAGCGGTTTAGCCCCTTGTTTTAACCCATGAGTTGCCTGTTAATAACACTCTCAGATTTTTAGATTTCGCTCTCATTTTTCACCTAGACCACATTTGTTGGATGTACAAGCCGAGGAGTAACAAACCCTTGCTTCTGTACCACTCCGCCCATACTAAGCTCGTAAAACGAAGCATTGTAAATATGTGCTTTAGTAACGCCTTGCAGAACGTCTTGTCCACATTTGATGGCAGGTAGTTTCAAGGAACAAGCAGAACGACTTCTGGACGCTGGCTACCCCTCTCACGTACAGGTTTCCGTTGCGGGTATTCTGGTCAAGAAGCTTCAGTCCTTGCAGCAAGCTCTCCCTCATGTTGAGCCAGTAAGACGTCAGAAGCTTGCCGTAGTGCCTTATCTGCATGGAATCTCCCACAACTTGAAAAAGGTTGGGGAGCGGGCCAATGTAAAAGTGGTGTTTTCTGCCCCGAAAAAGCTCTCGTACTTGTTTATGAAAGTTGTTTCACATGCAAAACCGGGTTGCTCTAAAAAGCACTTAACACTGTTTGTCACATGCGCGCAATTTGTAATCTATCAGATACCTCTTTCATGCGGTAAGTACTACATAGGACAAACTGGCAGGTGCATTAATGACCGGCTCCGCGAACACGCTTGCAACGTAAGAAATGGTCGAGATGGTTTTTTGGCACTACATTGCAGCACGTGTGGCTGCAAACAACTTTCTCATGGTACGGTAATCATAGGAAAAAACAGAAATAAAGTGACAAGGGAGATCATTGAAGCAGAAAAGATTAGTAGTTTAGGGCTGAACTGAGTCAGCACTCCTTCTCTTGGTCTTTGTGAAAAAGAATTGTTGTTTTTGAGATCATAAGTTTTTAGTGCATGACAATAGAGGGTTTTTCATCTCTTTATCTGTTATCTTCAAATTTCGTGAGCATATATATGCACGCTCCTCTAAATAAAGATTTTGTTGGAAGTAAGCGCTCCCTTCTGTCCCTTCCCTTGTCCAATGTTTCTAAACGCGCTACGTCGATCAACCTTTAAGGCTGTCTCCCAATTTGTTGGCGTTTTAGAGCAGTAACTATAACTAGTTACTACGTATACAGTTAGCCTATTACCGTTAAATAGTGGATGAAGAGGTAAGTAGCGACTTATTTGTAGATCTAGAAAGCGGCGAAATGCAAGAGAGCTGGTATGAAAGTAATTGCATGTTTGCGTCCCTCGCGGCAAAGCGTTGGCTTGAATCGCTAGACTTGGATAACTCTCGGCACCTCACACACAACGATAAGTCCACGTGACACCAAAAGCGGCCCTATCTACGTCATTTATTCACATTACCCATTACAGCACAAGTATTTGTCAAGGATATATTAAAGCAGACGTTATATTGGCATGCGTTTAGAATCTTCAATAAAGTTATATCTTTCTAAGTTGTTATTCCTTATCTTCTTACAGTTCTCTTAATTCCCACAACACGTGCTCAGATTTGACGAGCGAGGGACGCAATACGTCTTACGGTCGACATAACGGGAATAGAGGAAGAAAGTGAGAGAAAAATAAAAGCCTATTTGAGGCGAGATTAGAAACCGTGCAACCATCCGAAAGCGAGCATCAAACCACTCGTATATCACACGGCTCTCAGAAGGAAGTATAATGATCTGTGAAGAGAGTTCAGGTATGTTCTTAAAGAGGGTCTCATAGGGGGCAAATCTGAATTTGTGACACTTTTCTTTTTGTCTTACAGTGTGTAAGTTATTCGAAACAATCTTTGCTGTAAAACAAAAAAATATGGAGTAATATTTTATACATTACAATGCTCCTGCTTTAAACTAGGTCCTTTGCACGAGCTTGTTCGCACATCCACAATTTTCGGCAAGGGACGCCCACGAAAAACAGCCAATGAAAAGACCGCCATACAAGCGTTTTTTGTCTTAGTGTACTTGCAGTCCGTTTATTAAATGCGAAGCATTTCTGTGTGTACTACAACCACTTCTGGTGTCTGTCTATCTATCTAGCCACCTACGTCTCGGTGATGTCATGATGAATTAATAAATAATGATTTTATTTAAGTGCAAAAAAAAGAAAATATACTTCGGAAAGAGTTGACTAAGGCATTCACGCCTGGCGAGGTCCTCCCACCTGAAACAACAACAGGGCACACCAAACTTAGTATTGGAGGGTAAGATGATTTGACAAATACGATGCGCAGGTCATGACATAAGTAAATTTACAACATCGTCACGTACGTTGTCAAATACTTCCGGGAAATCAGTGGCATATACCCGGAGCCGGGTAGGTGCCTCTGGTAAGCGGGTGTGGGTAACAGGCGGCAGACATCTCATATCTACCCATGAACGGCGAGAACGAACATGGGTAGTTTGAACCCTTCAGCGTCAAGAAAAAGCTGACAATGGCAGCGTTGACAGTACGAATGCAAATAAATGTCAGTATACCACAAGGAATCGAACTCTAGCATCCTGCATGGCAATTAGTCATTTTACCACCTAGCTACGCCAGGTCTTGAGATGACCTTCAAATTGGCTCTAATGTTCTTAAATTGTTAGGTATGGTTTCACTGCTTATCAGCTATCAAAACTTAAAAAAACAATGCCTATGTATTCTTGTGATACAGCCGTCATGTCGGATTCCCGCCAATTGTAGTTAGGTGTCTTCCAATGAGGTTCATTTGTGTGGCAGTGCGGAGGGCTACTATGCTCGTGAGCCCCAGCGCAAACACTAATGCTTACCGTTTGTGTTGTTTCTCATATACATGTCGTCGTTGGCATCGTTACGTAACTGAAGACAACTGCTGATCTCAAACGTGTGCGGCTGTTTTAGTCTCTGTGTGAGTGGATTGGACCAAAATGTTGAGCGCCACTTCAGAGCGTCTCGCTCAATAAAAAGTTACAAAGACCTCTCACTTTGATACCATACGCTTTGCATACCATTAATTGCCAAGGCAACGTGGGATCTGCCAAATTTTTTCCTCTTTGCCTGCTTGAGACTTTCGATTGCCGCATAATCATTTCTTTTTTATTATTTGCGAGCACCAAGAAACGTTACTTTGCGCTGTTTATTGCAGATTGACCTACTTGTAGCCTACGGTCCCGTGGTGAATCTAACAAACATCGGATTTCCTATACGTGATCTCATGGCTGTCTCTGATCCACTTTTTGTGAGTGCTAGATATTTTTAGTTAGTCTTTTATGAATTCTGCTGTTTTACCTAATGGTTTTCTATAAAGTAAGAAAAGCATGTTTAAGTTTATTAACTGATGTGCTGGGATATGTGGGAACGAGATTTTGTCACAGAGGGCCATAGAAGTAATGAAGTTTTCTGGCCTATGCTTGCTTTCTGCGTGACAATGAGTCGTAGATATGAACTAGAAATATAAGAAAGCATCATGTTGACAGAGAGCGAGATTTTTGTGTCATTCTGATATGTGTGGAATGTCTCTTTTCTCAATACTGCCTTTACATAAAAGCATAGAGCATGAGCTTACATTATGCGCACGCTCAGTAATACGGTTGATGAGCAAAAATATTTGAAGAAACAATTTACTAATACTTTTGAGCAGCTACCGATAGATCTCAACAGATTATAGTTGAGAGCAAAACACTAGTGGCTTGTTGGACAAGTTTGTACATACACTCTTAAAATCGAAGTGACGTTCTCTCCATTTAGGGAAAAACGGCGATGTCCCTAATGTGCGTCTCTAAGAGAGAAAGGTTGTTCTCTTTTGCAACGGAGAAACTGTTTCTCCTCCAGAATCACGATGGCTGACCCCGCTTAGCGAAGTGAGTAGGCCTAGCCAACGCCTCTTAGATTTCCCGTGCCTGCCGGATTATCGGCGGTGACATGGGAGGTGGCGGTCGTCAGAACTACGGTGGTGGCGCCACTCTAATAGGGTGTCTTCAAATAGGTTTTTACGTTTTTGTAGCTTATATGCAACAAAAATAACGTAAAAAAGTTTTAAAAAGGCGTAAAAGTAATTATAATTAACCCTACGTAAGTGACGCCGTTATTCAGCAAGCAACTTTTTGATACAAAGCATCCTCTGAAATTAGTAGCAACGCAAAAATTGCCGATCTGAAAGGCCAAGTACAAAAACCCTTACTCCTACGTAGGCAGCGCCGCCATGAATGACCGGCGTTTTGCGCTCATTCGGCAGGCACAGAAAATCTAGGAGGCGTTGGCCTAGCGAATGAATCGAGTCTCGACTGATACAGAGTATACGACACTGACAATTACAAAAAACAGTCCCGCTGAGCTTGATATTGACGCGAACAAAACAAGACCGACAGCCAGGAGTTTATTGAAACCAGAGCAACGGAACGTTCTCTTTTTCTTCATTCCCGAAACGAGTATGAGCCACAGCGCTCGTTACCACCTCTCTCTTTACCCCTTCTCTCTAGAAGCATCATGTTAATGCTGTAAAATAAGGCAAAAAAATAAAATGCGACGAAGGTTACTGTAAAAGCAAATTGAATGGCGTCAGGCAAAATAACACAGTCGGTTGCGAGTCAGGAATCAAATGAGAAAAATAGAAAAGAATGTAAGAAAAAGAAGAAAACAAAGAAGTCACAGTTTTACCGCTAAAGCGAAGTATTGAACGCGATTGCAACAAATTGGAAGGTCACGCGCAGAGTGGCAACTAGATAAAAACTTTCCCCACGTTTCTCACGCACAAACGACGCACGAAACGTACTCACTGGTACATATGAACGCGAAAAGGCGTCTTAGTTGTTACCTTGCTGGGTCTGAAAAACATCCCCATTTTGCAAATCGGTGCTGTGCGACGATTGCTGTGACCTTTGTGCGCCCTGTAACTACAGCAGAATCGTTCCAGTGAAAGGCCAGCGCCAGCCAAGACGTATGATTCTCCCCACCGGGAGATAAAGTGGCGCCTGAGTTTGCCCACTCCCCTCCTCTCTGTATGGGAACACGGGGTACCCCACAGGGAGCAGTGTTATCACCGCTCCTTTTCAACATTGCTATGATGCGCCTTCCAAGCGAATTGGCTAGGGTGGAAGGCACACAACACGCAGTATATGCCGATGATATTACAATCTGGACCACTGAAGGGAGCCTTGGTGAAATGCAGGAATGCCTTCAGCAGGCCGAATCCATAGTCGAGGCGTATGCAAACGATTGTGGACTCCAATGTGCTCCAAACAAATCAGAACTTCTGCACGTTAGAGCGAAGCCAAGAGATAAGTCAGCCATACACATCTCCCTGTCTGGGGTGCCCATCAGAGAGGTGGAGGAGCTCCGGATTCTGGGCCTTTTCATTCACCACAGATCCAGACCGGACTCCACTATAGCGAAACTCAAGAGAATAGGCGAACAGGTAGGGCGCATGATCCACCGCGTTTCCAACAAGCGGGCTGGTCTGCGGGGCAGGGACGCGCTTCGGCTTGCCCATGCCTTCGTGACTAGCCAGATCCTCTACGCCGTCCCATACCTTCGCACTAACAAGCAAGCAGACGAAATAATAGATGCCATCTTTTGTAAGGCTACTAAACGAGCTCTGGATCTCCCGGTGGCCACTTCCAACGCCAAACTGAGGGCGTTAGGTGTGCTTAACCCCTACCAGGAGTTGCGGGAGGCCCACCTTATGAATCAATATACGCGGCTCGTGTAGACGGTTCCCGGGCGCCGCCTGCTGAACCGCTTACATATACAGCACACTTGCACTGCAGAGGAGGCGGAGCGTATTCCGGAACTGTGGAGGCATATGCTCTCGGTCTCTCCACTCCCCAGTAACATGGATAAGCACACGCACGAAAGCAGAAGACAGGCGCGGGCTCGGACGCTTGAGAGGCAACACGGCTCCCGACCTGGTGTATTCTACGTAGATATAGCAGGGCCTTCGCCCACGGAATTTTATACGGCCTGTGTAGTTCACCGGGAAAAACATGTCAATAGGCTCTCGTTCCGAGCACAAAATCCAGAGCGCGCTGAGGAAGTCGCGATAGCGCTTGCTGCTGCGGACCCCAACTCGAAAGTTATCATCACGGACTCCCGAAAGCATGTGCTCATTACTTGGTAGGAGAGATATCTCCCCTAGCCAGCCAAATTCTAAAACGGGCTCTCGCTGATCCAGCCCCAAAACGCATCGTGTGGGCTCCTTGCCATCAGGGCTTACGAGGTAATGAGGCCGCTGACGCGGCCGCCCGAGCGCTCACCCACTGGGCTCCTCACCTTGGCTTTTATGACTCGGAGGCCAATACACCGCTGCTGCGGTTCAAAGAAATTCTGACCTATTATCGCGACACTCACCGTCTTTACCCGCCTCCTGCAAAGGGGCTGAGTAAGGCGGAAAAGCGAACTCTAAGGCGCCTGCAGACTTGTACTGTCCTGCAATCCTAAAACATTTCGATGCGAACACAGATGGGCGGTGCCCCACTGTGGGGAGACGTGTGATATCTTCCACATGGTATGGGCATGTCCAAAAAATCCCCACCTACCCACTTCCCCTACCCCTTCCCGAAAGGCATGGGAGACTGCCCTCCTCAACTGCTCATCACTAGAGTCTCAACGGGCTCTGGTGAGACGGGCGCGAGTAGGGGCCTCGTCATGCGGTGTCCCGGACTAAGGACGCCGACCATGTAGCGGGGTCATGCTTTGGCGCCGTACCTCTCTTTTATAACAAATGTTTTTTATCATCATCATCCTCTCTCTATGTACGTGTTCATCTCGCTGATAATGCTGAAAACACCATAGTCCCCCCCCCGCCACTCCGAGATGCCCGCCAAAAGCGGTAAGTGGTAAATACGAATAGCTTGCCGTTTGAACGTTGAAAGAGGTACATCTCGGTGGCTCAGTGGTTAACGCCTCGCGTTCACGACGCGGAGGTCTTATACTTGATTCCGCGCGCCGGAGTCTTTTTTCTGGATTTTTTCCTTTCTTGCGTTTTCATAGGTATAGATACGTATACATATACGGTGCATGATGCCAACGCCGGCAGCGACATCCCGCCGAGAGTGTGTTATTATTGCTATCGCAATAAAAGAGTGACGCAAAGTCACCAATAAAGTCGGTCACTCCACTGGTGAGTCACAGCGCGAAAAGTGTAGTTTGAGCCTTGAAACGTGAATGACTTCCGTTTGCGAGGACCGACAGGAACTTCTCGAAGTGTCTTCTGGGAGAAGCTCGTAAGCAACCTCGGTGAGACGTCGTACGACGTTGTATGGGCTGAAGTAGCGGCGAAGCAGCTTTTCTGAACGGCCACGCTGTCGAATAGGGGTCCACACCCAGACTTCAGCACCCGGATTTAAAATACCTTCGTTGCGACAAAGATTGTAGCAGCGTGCGTCTGCGGTCGGGTGAGACTGAATATGGGGACGATCAAGTTCGCGGGCTTCCTCTGCGCAGTGTGCAAACGTGGCGGCATCTGAGGAATACATTCCTAAGTTGTCGGCCAGGAGCATGGCGTCGAGCATTTTCGTCACCTCGAAACCACGAACAAAGCTAAAAGGTGTGCGTCCGGTAGTTTCTTTACAGCAGTATTATACGAAAAAGTTAAGTGAGGAAGGATATCGTCGCCGTTTTTGTTTTCGATGTCCACATACATTGACAACATGTCGGCAATTGCCTTGTTAAGTAGTTCAGTGAGCCCGTTTGTTTACGGGTGGTAAGCCGTTGTTTTACGATGTTACGTGCCACTTAATCGCCAGACTTCCTGCATCATGTCAGTGGTGAAAGCCGTCCCACAATCAGTTACGACCACGGCTCGCGCACCGTGACTTAGGACTTTACTGTTAACGAAAACATGAGTAACGTCTGCTGCTGTAGCTTTTAGAAACGCATTTGTTCGCAGTAGCGTGTTAAGTAGTCAGTAGCGACAACAATCCAGCGACTTTCAAATGAAGACGTGGGAAATTATCCCAGCAAGAGCATGCCCATCTGAAAAAACAGTGCCTTTAATGGGTCTATTGGTTGCGGCAGTCGCGCTGATTCTAAAGATGAAATCATACACCGCTGAAAGTCGCCACATGTGCAAACGTAGTTCTTCACTGTTTTCGCGAAATGTGGCCAGTAGTTGGAGCGGCGAATTCTTTGCAGCGTGCCCGTATAGCCGAGGAGTCCGGACGATGGCCTGTCAAGACAGGCACGTAAAATCTCACCACGAAGCGTGGTTGGTGCAACAAGCAGGTACGTGGCACGTGTAGA